CTGGCAGTTCCTCTTCCTCACCGTCGCCCCTCTCTCCCTCTCTCATCTCCTCCACTCTCCTCCTCGGATCTTCACCGTTTCTTCATCATTTTTGCGAATCAAGATGGCCCCGAAGAGAGAAACATAAGCTCCTCCAATCCCTCCAAGTAGTTTTTGCAAACTTGCTTCCGATTTGATGCATTATTTGCTTGAAATCCCTCATCTTTTTGAACTTTTATTGGAATTTTTTTCACTTACGATTGTTTTAGCTTGATTGTAGTTCTAGTTCTTAGTTCTTTAGTAACTAGTGGTATTGAATATGAACTCTAATCAATAGTTCATATGTTAGTGTGAAGATGAACCCTAGTTCATAAAAAAAATTAAAAAAAGTATGATGTAGTGGATGTAGGACATGTATGTGTAGTGTAGTGGATGTGGGATATGTTAGTGTAGTGGATGCATGTTGATATGATGATATGAAGATGTTGTTTGGAGAAAATACATTCAAGATGAACTCTATTTTAAAAAAATGTTAAAAAATTGATGATATGATGCATGTTGGAGGATTTTATTTTGATATGATGCATGTTGATATGATGTGATCCATCATGTGTAGTAGATGTTGTTGGATGAATATGCTTAAGATGAACCCAAGTTCATTTAATCAAGAAATTTATTTTTTGTTTATGTATGCTTATGATGCTTTTGTTTATCAAATTTTATTAAGGCGGGCACCTCTTGCGGACAATGTTGGCCCATGGTACTCCATGCTTGACTACGCATTCGACAAGGGTCATCGTGCCCGTTTCATAGAGAACGGAGTGGTAAGCAATATGGAGGAAATATTGATCAAAGTTTTTGGATTGATGATAACAAGTTTGTAACTCTTGTCGTCCAGTTTTTGACAGATGCTCCCGCCACTGCGCATGAGGGGTCACGGGGTTGCCCCGAATATGGACTATGATGAGCGCTACGCGCCGTACTTCAAGAGAGCCTGACTGTTGGGTTTCGTGTTTCAGTTCAAGCGTCCGCCACCGACGCTTGTCCACGCAGCTCTGACAGCCTTGATTGACCGATGGTGACCGGAGACCCATTCTTTCCATCTCCCATGCGGGGAGATGACGGTGACCCTCGACGATTGGGCGATGATTACTGCCATGCCGATCAATGGTCAAGCACTGACCGGGCGTAGAGGAGCAACTAGCAGCAGAGGGTTACCACCCTCATCGGCGACTGCCTCGATGCTAAGGGTAACCGTACATCCGGTGTACCATTGCCCTGGCTCTCGGAGCACCGGAAGACATGCCTCGAGGATGCCGATGAGGCAACTGTGGAGTGGTACGCGAGGGCCTACCTGTGGTATCTTCTCATGGAGGTCGTGTTTCCAGACAGCTCCGGGAACTCTGCCAACTGATCGTATCTGTTCTTCCTATCCGACTAGGATGCAGGGTACACTTGGGGGACCTCATCTCTCGCCTACCTATACCATTCAATAAGAGAGTATCTCATTGCCTACCTACAAAAGTATGTCCATCACATTTTGTTATATCTGATCCTCATTTGATGTTTTGCAGCTTGACGACACAACCCAGAGGACGGGAGACAAGTCCAATATGGGTGGCTTTGTCTGGGGCCTCTCCATTTGTATGTGGGAGCGGCTGCCGGTGAGGCGTCCGGAGAAGCTGCCAAGATGCCCATGGGGTGCCTATAGCGAGGAAGGCGATGATACTCGACACCCCACCATAGCTTACGAGTGGGGCATTGTCAAACTCTACACGGGTCTAAACAAGACTTCGTACAAGGCCTACACCAACGAGATCGACGCTTTGACGATTATGCAGGTATATGAACTCGCTCACCATCTTTCTCTTTGATTTCACTTTTGATCAAGAGTGGGGACTTACGCATGTATATGTAATAGGTAAATTGGTGGTCGTATCATGATCGAGAGTGGGACTTCGATCTAAATGTGATGTGCGATGCGGACCGTGCTCTTTGGCGGTGCATCGTGCCCATGATATGTGTGTACGTCGTCGAGTGGCACTTGCCACACCACGTGGCCGTGCAGTTTGGGATGTATCAGCATACCCCCACCGGGCCAACCGACCGATACCGGCGGCCACGCGCTCCACTTGTGAGTGCCTGCGCTTGTTCTTCGTGCCCATGATTTCATTGTGTTCGACTTTATTATAATGTTTCTTGTTGCTAATGCCTTGCGGGATGAGCCGGCAGAAGAATCAGTCGATCACAGACTGGGGAGAGGAGCATAAAGCTCATGTGACGACGTGGAACCAACGGAACTCCCATAAAGATGTGGAGAGGAGAGTGATTGACTGGAATGCTTACGAGGACCAACACATGATGTGGTACAATGATGGTTGTAAGCACTGTATTCGTCTCAGGCCTCAGTGGATGGAGGAAGACATCGTGGAGCTGGAGAGGGATGACCCCGAGGAAGAGGCCTACCAGACCGGCATCAGAGACATGCATAGTGGATTTAGGGAGTTTGCACCCCTCATCAACAGAGTGGTAAGTTTGAACCGACGGTTGTATTTAAATTATTTTGTTCGTCATCGTGACTGATTTATGCCTCTATAGTTCGATGAGCTGAACGGATGCATCTTCGACGCCTCTGGTGCACTAGGTGATATCCCCGAGAGCGTACAATCTGAGAACAAATTGAGGGGGACAATGAAGGTACAATTTCAGCCTCCTTGGAACAGATGCATCTTGTTCACTTACAATCATAAATCTGATACTTATTATGCCCTTGTTTCATTGTGAGTGCAGAAGTTGGTGAAGCGTTGTCGGCCTGCTTGGGTGTGCTGGAGCTGGGTCGGTTGAAGCTTATCATCCCGGAGCCACACAGGGTCACATCGCCTCATCGAGCCATGGTCCCTCGTCGTCTAGGTTGGTTGAGGAGGAGGAGAAGGATGAGGAGGAGGAGGCCACAAATGAAGGAGAGGAGGAGGAGGCCTATCATGGGGAAGAGGAGAATGAGAGCGATGGTGAGGAGGAGTACGATGAAGATTACGGACCTCCACCAGCTCAACCATTTCAACCATCTCAGCTGCCGAAGAGGAATCCGAAGAAGAAGGATTTGCTGAGTCCGGACCCTTTCCAGAGACCGGTTCCTCGACGGTCCAAGAAGAACACTGAAGAGACTCGTTCAAAGAGGAACGAGGACCGTGCCTCCAAGAGCAAGAGGGGAAGGATGAATTAAATTCTGCTATTCGATACTTGGCTGTAGTTGAAAAGTTTAGTGGTTGTGAAACTATGTGTTGCTATTTGAACTATGTGTTTGCTATTTGTGAAACTTCGTTTGCTATGTGGAACTAAGTAGTTGAACTTCGTTTGCTTATTATGCACAAGTTTATGTGGAACTCCGTATGACATGTGTATGTGATGTCCAAGTTTAATTGTTTGAGATCTGTTATTTTGACTCTATATCATTGTTGTTTTTGACGCTATATCATTGTTTAAGATCTATTGTTTTTAAAAAGAAGAAAGAAAATGAACTTGGATGGAGGCAAAGACCCTACCGCCAAGGACCCTGGCGGTAAGATCAGACAGCCTACCGCACCCTACCGGTCCCTGGCGTTAAGGTGCTAATCCACGTCAGCATGCAAACACGGTGGCCGTCCCACTCCGTCGCACCCTACTGTATAACCCTACCGGCAGTAGCGCAAGGGTCAAATCCCGATAATTTTTCGAATCAGGGTTAGATCCTGAAATGTTATGTGAAAAGGGTCAAATCACGAAATGGGTCAAAACACGAAATTTTGCCCCGCTTCGCCAGGAACTGAGCTGCTGCAGCTTGGCGTGGCTGCTGCATGCCGGATTCAAAGCTTCGTAGGGGAAGCCATAGGAAGAGATGTGACTGGTTCTACATGTGGAAGAAACCACAAAGAGAGATCTGCTTGAGGATGCAGTTGAAGGAGGGGGGCATGCCGAAGGGAGGACGTGGTCAGTCAGCAATGAGGTCGCGTGGCCAGAGGAGGTCGCCCGGCGGAATAGGCGAGGATCGGGTCGGAAAATCCCTGACAGGCGAGCATCCAAATGCGTAGATGATTTTCCCAGGCTGTCTAGTTTTCCCAGGCTGTCTAGTTTTCCCAGGTAATAGTCGGGGATCCCGAGAAAAACAAGTAGATTATAATCAGGTGTCAAATTGTTTCACTCTTCCAGCAAATGTACTGTCCTGTAAATCATCAGGCAAAAGGGGAGCTACAAGCCTCATTCATACACACTGGGAAAACCAGCGAAAAGGAGCATGCATCGCGATGTGCGGCTGTTCTGGGTAGAGACGAGAGTTTCTAAGGAGCGGAAGGTTTCATTTATTCAAAACATCCAGAGGAGCAGCTGCCCTTCCAATGTGGATTTACGCGAGGCATGAGTAGGCCAGCGCCTTCTCCTCGGACAGCTCCTGGGCGGTCGCATCCATCTTCTTCCTCGAGAACTCATCGATCGGGAGCCCTGCAAGATGACATACAATAAATATTTGGCAAGTGGCTACAAATTAACGTGGTCACACATGTGCGTGACGGACAAGTAGAAGCATGGGAAGAATATATGATCCAAAAAAACTGCCATGCGGTAAGAGTGTTGCGTCGACACCCACCTTGAACAATTGTCCATTCACCACCACTGCACGTTACTGGGAAGGAGTAGATAAGACCAGCAGGCACACCGTATGAACCATCAGAGTACACACCCATGGAAACAAATGTTCCCTGTGATCCGCGAACTCAGCGTGTTAAAAGGCTGCATGTAAATAAGCCAAATACCAAAAAGGTCCAAGGGGGCTGAAACAGACCTCGGCGGTTCCCAGAACCCAGTCACGGATGTGATCACAAGCTGAGCTGGCAGCAGAGAGAGCACTGGAGAGCTTCCTCGCTTTGATGATTGCGGCACCACGCTGCTGGACAGTGGCAATGAACTCCCCATTTAGCCTGCGGAAAGAGGATAACACCATTATTAGATCCTATGAAGGAAAATGGATCTGACAACAAAACTTAATATTTTCAGCACTTCTCATGTACCATTCATCATCTTGAACAAGTTCACGGACAGGCTTCTCTCCACTGGGAGTCTTCACAGTGGCGTGGTTAACATCAGGGTACTGACTGGACGAGTGATTACCCCAGATAATAGCATTCTTCACGTCAGAAACTTGGACACCAAGTCTCTCAGAAATCTGACCGAGTGCCCTGTTGTGGTCTAGGCGGGTCAAACAACTGATGTTCTTCTCAGGGATAGATGGAGCAAACTCCTTCAGGATGAGAGCATTGGTGTTTGCTGGGTTGGCAACAACCAGAACCTAGAAAAACAGAACAAAAATGTGAATTTGCACAAAAAAAAATTGCAAAAAACATATTGAACTTTGCATGGCTTTTGAAGCAAACTAAGAAACACCATAACTGAGGCTCAAGTTTGTCCTAAATAAGTCCACATTATTTATGTATTTCTTAATGCGCCCAAATACTGATGTGAACAATGAAGAGGAGCGTCCGACTAATCTTACAAGTAGGGGCGAGTCTATTTTTTAGAATGGTCTTATGCCACATTCAGTACAAAATGCATCACCATGCTAAGGTTTGCCCTTCAATAGGCCAGTATTTTCTCGAGATACTTCTTAATGCATCAAAGGCACATGTGAAGATAAGAATGAAGTGTCCAGGAAATGTTATAACTTGCTGAGTAGTCTATTTATGGTTTTATCATGGTACTATCACCATCTAACTGAATGCATGTTGACAAAAGGTACAGTCTATATATCCGACTAATTCATACCTTGCAATTGGGGGCTGCATGAGCTTCAAGAGCAGATGCTTGAGCTTTGTAGATTGAAACATTTTTCGTCATAACATCCTTCCTTTCCATTCCTTCCTTCCTGGGGAATCCACCAACCATAACCGCAACATTCACACCAGTGCAGGCCTCAACAACATCAGTTGTTGCAACAACTCCTATAGTGTACCAACAGAAGGTTTAAGCATCAGCAAGGATGATCATCCACAAAAGGAGGTAATGCTGTCTAAAAAGAAACAAATTGAACGAACCAGCTTACCCTTGAGAAGTGGAAATGCGGCATCAATCAACTCCATCTTGACACCTTTAAGAGCTTCAGCAGCAAATTCAATATCCAGCATATGCAGAATAACAGGCTGGTCTGCACCAAGCATAACTCCCCTGGCAATCATGGGAACAAGAGCATATCCGATTTGTCCTGGTCAACATAGGAACAAGTCAGTTCATGCTACTTACTAAAATTACCAAGATTCTAGCACGCAAGAATTATTAGTTATTCATCCTAATTTAGCAAGATTCTAGTCATTTAATTTAAGCAACCGTGCTGTCCAGTACACTTTCCTGTGTTGCATTGAGGCGCCAAACAAGCCAATACACAAAGTAAAACCTGCCTAAGCAAAAATACAACCTTATTTACACGCATAGCACTGCTCTAAACCTCGTCAGGCAATATTATTATGACAACAAAAAGTAAATCGATCCTCTAAACCCAACCAAACTAGACCCACTCGTCTGGTGCAATACTCTCTCACTTATCTAATTAACAGCAGCAGTCAGTTCAGATCCCAAATCAGATCACGGTACTATCCCGAGATCTGCACCAAAGCCATGCAGCAAGACTAGAAGTTATCATATCATAACAAGCAAATCAGTTCAACAAGTGCACCAACTCCTTGGCGTCGATGACATATTAGAACATATAAGATCAAGCGACTATTAGCAGGTCTACCCGCAAATCCTTACCAAAGGCCATCAGATCAGCCTATCAAATCGCGCAAACACCACAACTCGGGCCAAATTACAGACAACGAACCAAGCTAGCAGTGAGCTCTCCCACTTGTCTGATCCGCCACTATTTGCCACTTCCACTTCAGTTCGACCCCTACCCGACCAGATCAAGACATGTAAGAGAAGATCTAGCTAGCAAAGCACACTCAAAACCCCACTTGGAGTGGATCTCGACGACTTGGCC